CAATATAAAACAACTGAGAAATCAATAAAATACCAAAATCTGGTTTCAGTAGCATTTGAGTGTCTGAGACAAACTCGTAGTTTTCTCCGCTAATTCTCGTGCTACAGAGCAGAAATTTTCAAGATAAGTTGAGTAATCGAGCATGTATCTGTGATATAAAAATTAGACCGAATCCACATACTATAGAGAAATAATTGCAGAAATAAGATGTGTACGTTATTTTGAGCAAGGGGATATATGATTGAGGCGTACCACCATTTTACAGATGTGCCATAAAAAGAAAAATGCCTATCACCCAGGCAGTCAGGATCGGCAAAAAAATGCGTCTATACGCATTATTTTAACGTTCTTTTCTGCTTGAAAACGCTTCGAGAAACGTTAAAAGCGCACATTTCAACGCATATAAGCGAGTTTTTTCTCTATTTTTGACTGACTGGGTAGCAGAAGTTGACTCAATGAGTTTTGATAATTTCTTTCTGTTTTATTAGTGTAAGAATAGACATTCACTTCTGAATAAAATCAAGTGTCCATCTGTCTTAGCCTCCGGAAAACCATAATAATAGTGCCAAGTACTTAGTTTTTAGGGTTATCTGTGGAAAAGAAACCAATTTTTATAACCATATTGCGTTCTACTTTTAAGAGCCTTCATACATGAGTTACCACTTAGAATGAAATCTTTAGGCTAAAATTTGCAGGAACGAATGATCCTAGTGAGAAATGCGTGTGACAAAAATTTCAGCCTAATATATCCTACTAAACCTACGTTTTGGCTTGATTCTATAGCTACCGGGACAATCGAAATAATTTCACTGTCATAGAAAGCATAGAGCTCGGGTGGGTTTCAAATTAAAGTTAGCCTCGGTGCGCGACTATTTAGTGAACAGAACTTTGAAACTTTCTTGCATTCATTTTTTATGAGGATTTTAGTGGGCATTGTATCCAAAATAAGCATACAAATGGTAGCCCTTTTCCAATAAATCCCACTTTTCTCAGTCCAGCAATCAAGTAAAAAAAATCGCTCGATGAAAAATTAGCTCTCATGAAGAACTTAAAAAAACAAAAAAAAAAAGAACATCGGTTATACCCTGAGTCGGATGGAAGCTATTTCAAACTCCCTGCCTGGAATCTATGTTTTGAAAAAACCGCTAAAGAAGTTTCAGGCATGTACTTTTTCATTCAAGTTCAGAAAAGATCATATTAGAACTGCATATCTTTAATACATTTCAGTGGACACTTTCAAAGCATCTAATAGATGATCATAGTTAACGCCATCTATCATGCTGGTGAATATAGAACGATTCTATTCAATATTAATGCAAATGACAACGCAGTTTTTTCAAAACAGAAAAAAGCAAAAATTTCTCCAAAAACTTGGTAGAGGAGTGAAATTTCTCTTTAATAAGTGTTTAAAACTCTGACCGCTTTTCGAAAACACATATCTATTCTGAAAGAGGACGCTTCGATGCAATCTTGAGGGTGTGGATGTGGATGTGTGCGTGTGCTTGTGGTATGTCGGTGTGGGGTGTGGGTGTGAGTCTGGATATGCGTGTGGTATGTGGGTGTGGGTGTGGTGCGTGCATCTGGGTGCGGCGTCTGTGGGTGGATGTGGTGTGTGCATGTGGTATGTGGGTGTTGGGTGTGGGTGTGGGTGTGGGTGTGGGGGTGGGTGTGGGTGTGGGGGTGGGTGTGGGTGTGGGTGTGGGTATGGGTGTGGGTGTGGGTGTGGGTGTGGGTGTCGGTGTGGGTCTTACTTCCTCACACTCATAGCCTCACACATCCATCCGACCACATCCACATCCAGACCCAGACCCACAACCACATCCAGACTCACAACCACATTTATACCCACACCTAGACTCACAACCACATTTAAACCCACACCCAGACTCACAACCACACTCATACCCACACCCACCCCCACACCGAGGGGTGCACCAACTCCAGCTCGAACGCTCAGCTCAATTGAGCTAAATAACTGTTTAAACAGTTCTTTTGATATGAGGTGATCTTACTGAACAGTTCTTTTGGTATGAGGTGAGCTGTTCGAACAGCTCTTTTCAAAAGAGCTGATCTGCTCAAACAGCTCTCTTTCACGAACTGATGAACGATCAAGGGCTATCCTACAGGGGTACCCTTGGGTCCTCAAGGCCTACAATAAGGGGTATCATTGGGTCCTCAAGACCTACTACAGGGGTATCCTTGGGTCCGCAAGGCCTACTATAGAGGGGATCCTTGGGTTATCAAGGCCTACTGTATGGGAGTACCCTAGGCTCCTCAAGTCCTACTATATGGGGGTACCATGGGCTCCTCATCGCCTACTGTAGAGGGTAACCTTGGGTCCTCAAGGGTTACTACTCAGGGTACCCATAGATCATCCAGTTTCAATGTTCAGGGATACTCTTCGATCCTGAAGTCCTAGTATAAAAGGGCAACGTGAGGTCCTCAAGTCCTAATATAGTGGCCCCCTCGGTCCTAGCGTCCTGCTTGCTAAGGAGTATTCATCGGTCTGAAAGTTATACTATAGGAATACCCATAGATCATCCAGTCCTACTATTGGGGGGCGGGAACCGACGCCTCCTGAATTCTTATTATTTGCGGATAATTTCAATCTCAACCATTGCATTCAGGCGTACCCTTCATTTCTCAACAATCACTGGCACTGTGAAATCAAAGCACACATCTTCCGGAATCTACCTAGTGAGTAAACGGACTAATCCCCTTCTGCGCTCTATTTCTTAGTGGTACACTGCTGGGACCTCTAAATGAACACATCGCATATGATAAACCACCCTGGCAAATTGCAACATCCGCTCTAACATAACTTCTCATTCTCAGCAAAACATACACGGAAATTCCTTCCTCCGATGTTCTTCATCAGATTTTCGACCAATGAGATTTCACAGGGCCTTTTATTTCTCATTGTTCAGAAAACCACTGCACTTTAAAAAAATAGGTTTTTTACCGAACGCCCGAAAAAGGTTCCATAGATCTGAAATGGCTTGCAAATGCATTCAAATGCTCAAAAAGCGATATTTCAGTTCTACGAAACCTTTACACATTCTTCCCCTTGACAAACGGGAAAACCTTTTCTAAGTTCCGTGCAGCAAAAAAAGGTTTTTTAAAAAAAATACAAAATCTTTAAGGTTTCGTATTAAATTCAAACAGGTTTTTACTAAACACTAATGGTATCGCACTAAACCAGTATAATTTAGTACGAAACTTTAAAGGTTTCGTATTTTTTTTACAAAACCTGTTTTGCTATACGGAACTTTAAAATGATTTCGCAGGAAAAAGCTTCTTCCTGTGTGTCTAGGGGAAGAATCTTTAAAGGTTTCGTAGAACTGAAAAATCGTTTGTTGAGCATTTGAATGCATTTGCAAGCTTTTCTGAATCTACGGAACCTTTTCGGGGGTTCAGTAAAAAATCTTTTTTTAGAGTGAGAGTACCCTCCTATAGTAGGCCTTGGGGACTCAAGGATACCCCATATAGTAGGCCTTGAGGACCCAAGGATACCCCATATAGTAGGTCTTGAGGACCCAAGGATACCCCCTGTAGTAGCCCTTGAGAACCCATAGGTACCCCTTTACAGCAGGTCCTGACGACCCAAGGGTACTCCTATAGTAGGCCTCGAGAACCCAAGGATACCTCCTATAGTAGGCCTCGAGAACCCAAGGATACCTCCTATAGTAGGCCTCGAGAACCCAAGGATACCTCCTATAGTAGGCCTTCAGTGCCCGAGGGTACCCCAATTGGATAGTCCTTTATCATCCATCAGTTCGTGAAAGAGAGCTGTTTGATCGGATCAGCTCTTTTGGATAGAGCTGTTGAAAAAGATCATTTTAGGAAAGAGATCTGTTTTGTCAGATAAGCTCTTTTCAAAAGAGCTGATCTAAAAGATCAGTTCGTGAAAAAGAGTTGTTCCAAAAGCTCATCTCATATCAAAAGAACTGTTTGAACAGTTCTTTGAGATGGAGCTAGAGCTCAACTGTAACACCCCTACCTACACCCACACTCGAAAAAAAACTTTTCCTAACTCGATGTTAAATATCTTCGCTATAACTTGGGCTATAGTTATGAAAATTCTGAATAATACTCATCCCGTACTGATTAACAGTCTTTCCAATTTTAATTATTTATCTATTTGTCATAAAGGACAGAAATTTTACTATCAAGTACCAACACTTTTGGCTCACCCTTTAAATGACGCTTCTTATATCGATAATTAGCACAAAAATTTCTTAAGATTAAACATCCGTCTGTCTCTATTCACACTACAAATCACATATCATCATTTTATCAATACAGTTCAGTGTTTTGTCTCAAAATTCTTTGAAGTATTATTTGTGATATCCATCAGAAAAATGGGCAAATATAGATGACAATTGCATTTGGACAATGTACAGGCAATAATACTAGATACTTATTTCGATCAAATGAATAGTAACTTCAAATCTGCTTTCTTTACATTATAATACTGATAAGCATTAATCGTATTCTCAAACTTTGTTTCTCGTAAGACAAATTTTTCTTTTGTAGATCGCTTTTCAAAAACGAGACGCACTTTATACTGCTATTATTCAACTGTCTCTATGACGTTTGTATTTGACTTTAGCGCATTAGTAAAACTAGATGAAGAAAATATCCTATTCACAATAATCTAGTGTTTTTTTTATTAGGATATTTAAATCGCTCTAGCGAAATAAACAATGTCTAGAAAGCTGGCACTGATAATTGGAAACAATAATTATTTGAAGAGTAAATTAAATAATTGCGTGAATGATGCTACAACTTTGGCCAATAAGTTAGAAGAAGTCAATTACACGGTGACTGTGCAAATCAATCTAGCATCTGTAGAAATGTACCAGTGCATCAAAGCGTTTACTAATTCGATTCAACCCAACGACTTTATTATATTTTTCTTTGCTGGCCATGGTGTGCAATGGGGCGATCAGAATTTCCTTTTACCTTGTGATAATGACCAAATAGAAAGTGGCTATGACATGCAACGGTTTGCAATTAATGCCCAGCAAATGGTGGATGAGATGGCAGCTATGGATCCATACGTGATTATATTTTTATTGGACTGTTGTCGAGAGTATTGGTTACCAAGAAAAGGAAGAAGCGGTAATCAGTCAGTTGGAGGACTTCAGCAGATGACGGCACCACCAGGAACAATGATAGCATTTGCTTGTGCTCCTGGTGGGGTAACACCTGATCGGGCATTGCACTCGAAAAATGGCATATTCACAAAATATTTGCTGAAACATATTACAACTCCCGGCATCGATATTGACATAATTCTGCGAAGAGTGGCGACAGGTGTTGAAGAAGAAACAAAAAATAATCAACGGCCGTTTCGTGTTAGCTCAATTAGTAAAGAAAATGTTTATGTAGTGCCACTAGGTAAATGTCTGTTTAGCTATTTCAATAGTTTTGTATAGATATCATTTTCAACCTTAAAGAAAATTCGTTTTTTATTGCGAATAACGGTATCAAAACAAATTTGAGATGAAACAGAACTTAGTGAAATATTTGAATGATAGATAGATACCACATTTCTGAGAAATATTTACTTCAATAGGCATGATATTCAGAAGAGCAAAAATGTATTCACTTAGCTTAGCAGTTCTACGGACCGTTAGGCACCTACGGATTAATTTATGAGGTGTCAATAACAAAAAAACAGGCACTACTGATTTTACCACAACCAAGCACTCATCTTATTTCACCACGCTAAACATTACGCATTAGTTCCATCTCTGGAATTAATTTCGTCCGATTCCAGGAATTCGACCATCGTTGAATATCAATGTTCTAACTGAAATTGGTCGATTCTCTTCAACTCCGAAAATTCCTCGGAGTTCCTAAAATTCCTATCAATTCCAGAATTGATACGAATTCCTGCAATTCCATCCAATTCCTGCAATGCCACGAATTGCTTCCGATTCCTCCCATTTCCGGAAATTTCTGCCGATTCGGAAATTGATAGAGTTTTTTTTCAATCCCGTCTAGGTACAATTCCGCGAATTCCTTGCCGGAATTACATTCTAAATTAAGAGCTTATCGCTGAATCATGCCACTATACGTGAGGGTGAGGGTGAGAAGCGATTCGGGCAAGGAATTCCTGAAATTTAACCTGAATAGAATCGGAAAGAATTCATAAGAATTCCTGGAATCTATTACAATTCCTGGAACTCCTGGAATTTCTTCCAATTTCTTTAGTTCCTTCTAGTTCCTGCAATACTCCGAATTGAAGGACCTTGATCAATTTTGATTAGTCCGATATTCAATGATGATTGAGGGCGTGCGTGTAGGTGTGAGAGTTCCGGTGAGTATGAGTGGATGTGAGTGTGGGTGTGGTGTGGGTGTGGGTAGATGTGTGAATTGTTAGTCTTGGTGTCGGTGTGGATATTTATTTTCCATTATCCCACATCCACACTCACAGCCACAACCACAGCCACACCAACACCAACACCCACGCCGGCCCCCGCACTCACACCCCAGTAGTGGTAGTACTTTAAGACTATGAATGAGAGCGAGGATGAAGAGGAAATCCGATAAATTTACACCAGATACTGACATCCTAAATCAATCACACGCTTGTGCCTTTTGCTCACAGCCACACCCTCAATCTGAAGGAACTCTCAATTTCTTTTGTTGCAATGGATAACACCAGTCTTTGATTTGAAAAAGGCACCATATGCGTACGACGATATTAAATTTGATCGGAAATGATACAAAAAGGTACTAAGAAATAAATGATTGTCTTATGTTTCAGGTGTTTCGACAACGACTCCCGTTGGATTAACTAAAGCAAAAGACGAAGAACGGTGTAGCAAAGTTCAAGTAATTCAAATAATTTCATAGTGCCCTTTTTCTGTTCACATATATATCCTTTTGTTTAAAGGAAGGTATAGATGCAACAAAAGACATCGCCATTACTACGTACAGTAGGGTTAGTTTCGTTATATTCATGTTCAAATGATAAACATTCTAGAAATTGAATATTAATCGAATGTTTCATACTTGTAGATATCCCGTCCTGAAAGCAACGCTTCACCAACTAAAGGTAGGATATGATTCATCGTTTTCTTATAATTGACCATTATTAAATGTTTGATACTCGGCAAGGTATGTATGTGACCTGGTATTTGACTTAGAATATCCGAGATGTAAACGAGGTTAGACTACAATGTAGCTATATATATTATTGATTGCTTTACAGATTAGAGTGTGGGTGTGGGTGTGGGTGTTGATGAAACTCTTTGCTCAATACCCACACCCACACCCACACCTACACCCCACACCCACACTCACATCCATGATAGACAGGGTTTAGACCCAACACAGACCGTGGCAGACAGGCTTTGGACCCATCACAGACCGTGACAGAGAAACTGTAGTTCTAAAGCATCAGATAAAAGGTTAGCTACAAATGTATCGCAAAGAAATGGAACAAAACGATTTCCATTTAGTTAGTAACAACCGGTCCATCGTGTTTCACACTTTTAATCTCACAAGGGATTGCGCTAACAGCTTTTTCCAGATGTTTTCATAAGGTTTGTAGCGCTTCCAAAGTGCTATCCCACGATATGAACATTAGACGAACCGGTCATCCGACTGGAGGGTAGAAACAATGATTATCATGCCCAATCAGAGTTATTTAATATGTGATAATCATTGACTGTTTCAACTAGCCTTGACACAACACAAGCAAATGCTATAGGACTGATTAGACTAGAAATAACTTGTGGACACTTATTGTGAGAGTTTGATGTAGAAGAAGTCAAATTTCTCGGGTAGGCTCCCTCCTGTTTTTCAAAGTCAAAAATATTTTATAGTCACCAGTGGCTATATTGAGCTCGAAATGTCTGACGTGGTTCCCCATTTGAAACGTCGAAATTAAGTACATCTGGTGCAGAATTAAATACTCCATCAGATGAAGTAATCAAATCTCTTGTTAACTTAAAAGCAACAATAAAAAAAGAAATATTGAAAAATTTCGAAAAAAAAAATTTCTTTTTGGAAAGGTATTTATTCACTGTAACGAAGTAGAGTATACTGGTTTATGCGACTTTACATGTGCTTTCAAATGAGATGTTTCCCAGCATTATACAACTTTATTTGGATTCAGAAAGTCAAAATTACTGAAAATTCGTTTTTTCACGTTTTGTAAGGGTGTTCATATTGAAATGCATGGAGCTCCGTAAGGAAACTACATATAAGCCTAAAGAAATTTCGCCACCTTAATTTTTCACGTAGAATCGAATGATACAAAAAAATGAGACGTTAAAAATTTTCATGCTATGACGGTTCTCGATGTCCTCATGGAACGTTTCGTAATACTTTTTTGTTTTCGAAAAGAAATCTCCTAGTTTTTTTCTGAGTAGAAAACCTCTGGTGAACTTATGGTTATTTGCAAGGATTTCTCAGTTTCGAAAAATACCCATATCGTAATTTTATTTCCAATGTTTCAGTCAATACTCGATGGGTGCAAAATGGAGTAACTGTTGCTGGAGGCCGTGCATCAGGCGATGCCATCAATCAACTGCACCAGCCCTGGGGTCTCTTCATTGATAATGATCAAACAATAGTCATCGCTGATAAGTACAATCATCGTATAATCGAATGGAAAGTTGGTAATAGAAATGGGCAAGTGATAGCTGGTGGCCGTGGCCAAGGAAACCAATTGAATCAATTGAATAATCCAACCGATGTGTTAATCGACAAAGAGACAAATAGTGTCATCATCTGTGATCGATTCAATAGACGAGTCGTAGGATGGTCTCGTCGCAGTGGCACAACTCAAGGAGAAATTCTCCTCGACAACATAGGTTGTAGAGCATTGGCCATAGATGATCAGAGAAATCTTTACATTGCTGATACTGACAAACATGAAGTAAGACGATATAAAATAGGAAGCAAAAGTGGAACGATCGTAGCCGGTGGCAATGGTGGAGGTATTGGTCTTCATCAACTCAACGTACCGATCTACGTCTTTGTCGATCGACAAAAGACTGTCTACGTGTCAGACTATAATAATCATCGTGTAATGAAATGGGATGAGGGTGCGACAGAAGGAATTGTCGTTGCTGGCGGACAAGGTGAAGGGAACGATCTGACACAATTGTCAGGCCCTGTAGGGATATTTGTTGATAATCTGGATGCCATCTATGTAGCAGATGAGAGAAATCATCGAGTGATGCGCTGGCCTAAAGGTTCAAAGCAAGGCATTGTCATTGTGGGGGGAAATGGTCCAGGTGAAGGACCAATGCAGTTTGACTGTCCTGCGGCTTTGGCTGCTGACCGACACGGTTATCTCTACGTCGTAGATAACGGGAATCATCGAGTTCAACGATTTTTTATGGAATAAACTGCTTATGATGGTTCGTTTTTTGTTTTTCTGCCAAATATATCACATTAATTGAAACCGGAATGGACATTAGGCTTGCTCTTGCGTAACCAGGAGGGTGTGGTTGTGGGTGTTGGTCTTGCTCTTCTCTTCATCCACACCCACACCCACACCCACACCCCACACCCACACCCACGCCCCACACCCACATCCACATCCACTCCCACACCTACCCACACCCCCACCCACATCCTCAACAAGTGGCATTTAGATTTATTCCGTCGATTTCTGCTGCAAATAAGCAAAAAAAAAAATACTTTTTGAAATTGGTCCTTCAACTAAAAATGTGAAACCATATGAAAATATTTCTTCCTATAGTTATTTTCAAATAGAAGCTGAAGTTCTATTTATGTTAGGATCTATCTTCAATATACAAAAAGTGTTATGAAACAAATTGATGTGTCAATCAGTAACTTTCGGTTATAGTCGATGAACTGTATGCTAAACAGAGATAATTCCTACACGCCTTCTAAACTACCTATTATGTCTCAAAATGCTTCATAATAACAATAAGTTAACATAGACTGTACCTTTTTACTTCTATTTTCTATTGTTGGAATAATATGTATTACGAAATAAAGTGCGAAGGTTGAAGAAAAGATAAGAGATAAGCAAATAAAGAAAGAATTCAGAGTGAAAAGTGACAGAAGTCGTCTATTTTCTTTCAAATGACACATTCGAACGATGGAATCAGTCAATCTGTGATGAAAGACAGATTACTTTTAAGCGAATCAAAAAATGTAACTGTTGATAGTGTTCTCAAACAATGTGGAGATTTCGGTCGATTTCAATGGTTCCATTATTTCTTTCTCAATTTATTACAAATATCTGCTGGTGTTGTTGCTTTTTATTATGTTTATGGTGCAGCATAACCCGAACATCGTTGTCGTTTGCCATCATCTATTTGGCAGAATGACAATCAATATAATCCAGTCAATTCAACATTAAAATCTCTTATTGATAAATATATTCCAATCAGTAATGGAAAATGGGATAAATGTCATATATGGGATTCCAATCGAAGATTAGTTGATTGTCCAAATGGATGGGTATTTGATCGACATATTTAGAGATCATTCGGAAATTAAGTCACTAAAGAAAGTGAGTCTTGAGCTTATTATCTGACATTACATAAGACAAGAGAAGTCCATTTTATTGCCTACGAAACAATGCCATTTTTCACCAGTTAGGTCATTCTTAATTAAATATAACACTTCAGAAATCATATTACAGTGATGAAAAGATTTTTTTCAAAGGATGCTATTTTCTGGTGAAATTTAATCATCTCTGAAGTAAAAAAATTAGCTTGATAGTAAACGTTTTGATCAAATGTTCAGTCTAACAACAAAGATAATACAATTTACAAAGATTATTATTGAAATACTTAGAAAAAAAACACTTCTTACACGGTTTTCGAATAGTGACATATGGTTTTACATTTACAGAAGAAGCTTATTTAGTTTGTGATACAAAAGGAAAAAAAAGTTGGATTTCAACAGTGATGCACATAGCTGGATTTACTCTTTTAATTGTTGGACCATTAGCCGATAGATTTGGACGAAAAACCATGATTATTTTTCTTACTTTAACACTTTTCCTCATTTGTCTTTTGCTACAAAGCCTTATGCAATGGGTTCCAATGTCAATTCATGTCAAGTAAGATACATTCAATCAAAAAACATATTTTCATTCATAAAAATATTTTATCCTTTTAGATTTAGTCTTTTGGTACTAAATCAATTTATATTAGGTTTCAGGGGACCCCCCCCCCCCTTTCCCGCGTTTCTAAGAAATTGCCGAACGGAACTTTCGGAAACGTGCAGGTCGATAAACCTCGCGTCGTAAAGCAAGAGTGGTTATGGACCGACG